TTGTTCTTCATTATTTACATTATATAAATTCTTTTTATATTTATTTAAATGATTCTCATTAAAACTATAGGATAAACAGCACTGTTTTTTTGATTCCAAGTCTAATTTAATTGTAAGTAGTGCAGACAAAGTTGATGGTATTATTTTATTTCTTTTTTTTGTTTTGTAATCAAGCATATACGAAAAAGTTCGTTCAACATCAGCGTTTCCACGAGTCAATGTTTAAATGATTAGAGCCAGTTTACCTATATTGCGAAATAAATATTCGTCATTAAAATTTTGAGGTCGTTTACAAACGACCAAAATTCAATGACATTAGTTTTTGTTTTTAAAATTCCCTCTTTCTCACTATCACTAAAATAAATACATATTTTCTTTAGTTCCAAAATTGCCTTTTCGGTTTCAATATGAAGGGCAAATTTTTTTAAAACGGCGTCATGAAAGGTATCACTTATAATAAGACGATTGTTCATCACATCAACCGGTGAGAGAAACTTTAGCTCTGAAAAGAAGTTGTCTTTGATAGGAAATCTTTTAAGGGACTCTTCTACCGATTTTTGGTAAAATGTGACACATTTTAATTTAAATTGTTCGATTGCCGTGTTATTACAGTGTTTTATTGCATCCATTGTATGCGGACCAACATTCACTTGTTCAATTGGTAATAAGCAGTGGGGATCATTAGGATTTAGATTATATAATTTCTCATTTTTAAAATATTCTGGTCGCATAAAGTTTGTACATAGATGACGTACAAATCGCTCACTCTCTATTGATATGATATTGAGCATAACTTTCTCTGATTGAAATAGAACATTAAATTGGTTAAAAATGGGCAACACGAATTTAAAAAACATTAAATACGCCTTAACAAATGGACTCTGTAACTCATTAAGTATTACATTTGCTACAGGATTTTTGTCTTCAATGGAAGCTAATCTAAATAGGCTAAGCTAGATGTCCCACTGATCCAAAATTCTATCAACACATTTGGATAAAGCAAGCCACCTTGTTTTACTAGGGCTTCAAGAACACACTGCCTTTTTGGGCTTCTTGAGAAGTAAGAATATAAGTCTTGTAAAAGAGCTTCAACGTTGCTTGGAATCTTTTCAGCTGCCGCCACCGCCACTAAATGAGCAAAGTGGCAAATGCAGCCATTGACAATTATATTAGGATTATCTTTTAAAAGAAGTTTTGAAAGATTCGTTATTGCCCATCATAACGCTAGCGTTGTCGGAACAGTATCCAACAATATTGGTAATTTTTACTTGATTGGATATAACGCATTTTTTAAAAAGAGAATATAAACCTTTGGCGGTACCTTCATCTGCGTTTATTTTGATTATATCTAATAAATGGGTTTTAATTGAATTTTTATGAATATACCTTACAAGAATGCATAGTAGTCTTGTATTGCTCAGGTCTGTACTCTCATCCAATAAAATAGAAAATGGTTTATTTTCCAATTCTGAAATTATTTCGTCTTTAATAACAGGAGCCAGCACATTTTTAATTATACTTATGCATTTGGATCTTTTTAATTTAAGTGAGCTAGAGAGATCTGGGTCTTTAAAACATAATTGACTAACTACTGTTATATGATCAACAGTTCTAAAACTTATATAATGACTTACAACTAAAAGACTATATCTTAAGCAAGCAAATATTTGCCGTATTTCCAACTCACGTGCTTCCCGAGACTGAAAAGTGCTATATAACGTTCTTACATTCGAAATTGCTTGTACATTAGTGGCATGCCTATTTGATTTCGAATGATTCACTAAATCTGATTTTTTAGCACCCATTATTTGATTACAAGCTTTACATTTTGCTTTCAACTTTTCATTTTCAATAGGTCCCAACCAGCCTTTAAATAACGGATCTTCTAGCCATGATGAAGTAAACATTTGTTTTCGTGTCTTTTTCTTAACAGGTTGGTCTGGCTCTTGGTTATTCTGAGATTCGCAAGTCGAATTATCAGGCTCAGACCTGATTCCACTAGATTCCGCTCTTCTATTTTGTCTGTATTCAGGTTCGGGATGCTCCGAGTCCGACACAGATGCATTCGAAGTGGATGGTACGGCCACGTTTGGTTTCACCGTTTGTTTTTTAGAAGGATTTTTATCAAAAAAATCGTTAATGGTCTGCTGTCGCCTTTCCATTATTCCTATTTTCCAGAAGATTTATTTCTGGATCAAAGTATAATATGTTAGATATTTAAGCAGTTTTGTTACTTACCAGTAGATTTAATATTAAAATCTGCAGCAAATGATATATCAATAAAATGATCAACACAAAAATAAGAACACTAATATAAACGAAACTAAACAGTATATACCCAGAGCTGAAAAATACAATACAAAGCGAGAAACCTAATATTATGTCTGCCTGCTGAGACCTGTTAGAAACGACTAGTATTGAAAGCAGTACGTACGCCATCTGTTATTGAAAAAAAGGCAAGTGGAATAATTCTCTTCTCTGTTCCTAGATGGCTCAAGCGGCACCAAATGCACCAATTTTATTATTAATGTGATAATAAATCAGACTCTAGCCACTGCCTATTTAGGATTTAGAACGTTATTAACGTTAAAACAGTGAAATAAATATGATAGTTTTGTATGTAATAAATTCCGCTACATTTTGGGCTAATTTGCTCTACCGCCGCTACGCCGCTCTTCTCAAAATAATCCGCTACAAATAGCGGAATTCCGCTACGTATGGCAACACTGGTAGGAAGCAGTATGAAAGCTCTGAGGGCATCGCTTCTGACCTTTTGCCTATTTGCAACAGGGTACCGCAGGGATCAGTACTTGGTCATCTGCTATTTCTAATGTATATCAATGATCTGCCCTCAAGTATTGATAATGGATCCCGCTTCCCATTTGCAGTTTTTTGACACCAAGTTATCGCTTAATGAAAACAAGTCATATTACATTTTCCTCTGTCAAGTGGGTTGTGAGATCTGAACTAGTAAAACTTCTAGGAGTAGTACTTGATTCCAGACTATAATGGACGCACCACATTGATTATTTACATTCTAAACTGTCTACACAATTATTTACTCGTAGGTAGCTAAGCAGATTCCTTGATAACCATACTTTGCAGATAGTGTCCTTCTGCATGACCCATAGTCATATTACATATAGCACAATGCTCTGAGGAAACTCAGTAGCACCCAGCAAAATTTTCATTTTACAGAAAACGGCATTGAAGATAATTACAAATTCCAGATATGGATCAACATGCAGAAATCACTTGAAAAATCTACAAATATTACCAGTTCCATCAATTTATATTTTGGAAGTCCTATGGTATATGAACAGAAATCTAAACAAATACCAAACACAAATACACACTCATGCTCTATGTAATGTTAATTATCTAAGGAATTCATACTCGCGACTGAATATGACTAAAAATAATAGGCCTACCGTTAAATCATAAATATTTTTCATCAATTCAAATAAAGATGATTTTGAAAATATCTCTAATCGGTACCTCTCAAAATTACCTAAAAAAAGCCCAACCACTATCTCTATTTAGTTCAGTACATTGATGCCATGACGTCACTTGGATAGTTGAAAAATTAGTTTGTAAGATCTCACCTGTATACTAAATGACATAGAAAATGCAACACCTGCGCTGTAATTTTGAGCATACTTTCACAAGCTCAAGGTCTGCTGATAAATAGAAAGTAATTAAAATTATAACTCGAAATTTCGCAAAATAGCTGAGATATTCCACCATAATGTCAAAAATGTGTTGAAGCTCATCTGTTCGCTACATATTCGCTAATTGATGTCTTCTTGGTGTATCGTATCCCAGGCCATTTGAATTTGGTGTCGTAGAGCCTACAATGTTTGTGGAGGATGCGGTGAATTTTGCAACCTTCTTCCCATCATGTCCCGTACATGTTCGATGGGGGAAAGATCTAGAGATCGACGAGGCCACTGAAGCAGATTTACCCCGGACGCTTCTAAAAAGTCTAGTCTAGTGCGACATGAGGTCGTGCATTGTCCTGCTGAAAAAGTGTATCTTGCAATGTTTCCAAAAATGAAAGTAGATGTGGTTGTGAAACTTCGTGGGTATAGCGCTGGGCAGTCATGCTACCTTGAATGAACACTAATCGTGACCTGCTGCCGTAAGTAACGGCACCCCATACCATAACACCCACAGTGTGATTAATGTACCGTTTGATAGAGTATTCACCACGTTTTCCCCTGAGAATCTGGACTCGTCTCTGAACATGACTGAGTTCCATTCCTTATTTCATTCAAGTCTCTCCCTACTGCATACCAATCGTTGCCGACGATCCTGTGGCGTCAGAGGTAGTACAAGATGGGAACGGTATGAAAACAGTCCAAAATACCGTATTCGTTGTTGAACATTATTATTGCCGTTCCGACAGCATCATATCACTGGTTCGCAACTGCCCTTATTGTAGAAACTCGATCTCCTAGTGCTAGTTGTCTCAAATAACGATCCTGTTGCTCTGTAGTCTGTCTTTGACGTCCAGTATCTCTAACTCTTCGATTTCGTCCATCTTGGAACCACGCTCAACATCTCATTGTAGTAGATTTGTTTCGATTCACCCGATTAGCGATTTCTGTAAAAGAAAATCTCCGACCCCTCTCAAACTCGGAAAGTTGAATGGAATTGGCGCGTCTGCGAACTCTAGGCATGATAATAATAATGCAGTGAAACAATGAAATAAATGGAACCAACTCAGAAAAATCTCTGAATATTAACTAAACATGTTCATATTGTTCGGATCCTGATATGACAAAAAAAGTACGATTGTATCAGCGTATACTACAGGATAGGAAATATGTTTACAAGGTTTTATCAAAATTCAATAAATAATTCTGGGTGTTGTATTTTATACGTCACTTAGTATACACTGTAAATATGTACATAATATGGTCAATAAATGGTATGGTACCTGTATGTTTTGGGAGATTAAACATCTGTTGACCCATGGACTTACTCCTTTGTTTCAGGCACGAACTACTTCAAAGCCGGCAAGTTTCAGCTCGCGCTGAAACTTTACAAACGCATCGTATCTTACCTGGAACACAGTTCAGAAAAGGATGTCGATAACGATCGTAAAGCAGTCCTACTAGCTGCCCATCTCAACATCGCTCTCTGTTGTTTGAAGTTGAAAGATAACTTCGAGGCCAAAAGTGCCGCCGAGGCAGCACTTAAGTTGGACCCCAACAACGAAAAGGCGCTCTTCAGGCGTGGACAGGCGCTGTTGGGTGTGGGCGAGGCTGAGGACGCTAGTAAGCATTTCTCCAGGTGTTTGGAGATTGATCCTAATAACACGGCAGCTAAGGCGCAGCTTGCTGTGTGTACGAAGACGTTGAAAGAGCAGTTGCAGAAAGAAAAGCAGGTACGTTTCTCATTTCTCATAAATGGAGATTTCAAAGAAAATGGATCGAGTCAAATCGTTTCAAAGGGCGAAATCGATACGTGATTAGATATGTTCCGCTTAGGTAGAATGAATCTTCGACCTCTGCATATCTAACTAAATATATACAGCAAATACAGGGTGTCCGCAAAGTTGGGGTTTTCGTTTACACGACGTGTAGATCTTGAAAACATAAGCAATTTTTCTTAGTACCATATACACCAATGTCTTAAGGGAACCGAGATAAAGGGCTCTGCAACATCAAAAATATCTGAATACCGTCCTGTACCCGCGACCCGCGACATCACCGAGTGGTACAAGGTCACTGGCTCAACCCGACGACAGAACTGGGTCGGGGTCATTGTGTCAGGTCAGTATGCAACCTTCAACCGACGGTTACGGTCACGGGTGTAGAGGTAAACGAACCCGTATAATCGATTGCGTTTCAAAAAAAAAAATAATGGCACACTCATACACCAATAATGATATGTTGTTAATTTATGGCGAATGTCTTCAAAATGCTACAGAGGCTTCGCGAGTGTATGCAGATCGTTTCCCTAGACGACATCATCCAAGGCCCCGCAGATTGTGTACCTGGTCCAGAGAGTCAGGGATACGGGCCATTTGGAGGAATTTCGAGGTGGGCACAGTGGGAGGCCTAGACAACCACGAATGGTGCAAGTTGAGGAAGAACTACTGAATCGCGTAGACGAGAATCCCTCAACAAGCACTAGAGACGTGGCTAGAGAAGTGCAAGTATCAAAAACTAAAGTGTGGCAAACGCTGCTTGAAGAGGGGCTGTATCCACGTCCAACGTGTACAAGCCCTTCAACCTGACGATTTTCCAGCAAGAGTGTGGTTTTGTGAGTGATTGTTGCATCAACATGACAATAATCCGGACTTTTTCAAGTGCATATTGGTGACAGACGAATCTACGTTCACGCGTAATGGGGTGAATAACTTTCGCAACACTCATGTTTGGTCAGTAGAAAATCCGCACGCTGTCCGTCGGGCACATTTTCAACAAACATTTTCGGTGAATGTTTGGGCTGGCAAGGTGAACGGTATGCTCATTGGACCATTTATTCTCCCAAATCGATTGGACGGGATGCAATACCTAGACTTTTTACGCAACATTTTGCCTTCCTTGTTAGAAGATGTGCCATTAAGTGTAAGACAATCAATGTGGTTTCTGCACGATGGCGCACCGCCCCATTTTAGACGCGAAGTGCGTGAGTTTTTGAATGAATTATTTCCGAATAGGTGGATCGGACGTAATGGACCCGTAGCGTGGCCTCCGTGATCTCCAGACTTAACACCATGTGATTTTTTTCTTTGGGGAGAAATGAAACGCTTAGTGTACAAAACTGAAGTGCATACGGTTGACGAACTTCGTCTCAGAATTGAACAAGCTGGTGCTTTCATTCGGGGGAGGGACTCCATTCTCAAAGCCTGCACCGATGCTTGGCTACGTCGTGCACGCACCTGTGTTTTTGAATCAAACGGCGATAACTTCGAACAATACCTATAAAGTACGTTTACCTAAAAACTGAAAACGCGGCAACGCCGTCATATTTGTTACCTCTGTTTGTGGTCTGCACCACCGCCGGCGTCTGCTCGGTAGCGCATCAGCTGATTTCATTTTCTGTTGGAGCGGTATGATTTCGGGCAGAGACGTACTTAGCCCTTCTCGTCAACTGGAGAGTGAGTACTTTTTCCTTTATTTTTTTTACTTGGTCGCCCTCGTTTCACTACACTACACCTTTGTTATTTCAAGGGTAGTTGTTTCTGAAAAGGACAACCCCAACTTTGCGGACACCCTGTATATATTTCTGTTTCCATTGCAAATGTATGACTTATTGTGTCTAACATAATCACTGAAACCGGCAGCTTCTTAATAAGAGACGCTATTTCACTCGTAACAATTTACAATCAGTTATCGCATACAACATCAAACCTACAATTTTCATCTCCTCCAATGTTTGAAAATGAGCAGAAATCCCTGAAACGTTGTAAAACTATGCTCCAGCGATTTTATTTCCGCCGCCTCTAAATCAATTTCCAAAATCTACGACTACCTAAACGATGGAAGTATTAATCTCGCGATAAAATATTCGAACTTCGGTTTACAAGTTTTCTGTTGCTTAAAGATATTTGCACCACACGAGTCCGTGTTTCTCATTTATGGCGGTTTGTCAGTCCGTTTATGTTGTATATCACCGCGTCATAAGTACTTAGTCAATCCACTTGACAAAATATTCAGAGCACCATCATAGACGGAGTAACATAAATTAAAGGTTAGGCCACAGCCGACGTCAACTACGAGCCGTGAACAAAGAAATTTGGCAACGTAGGTGGTAGTTACTCCCGCCGCTGCTTGCTGCATCGACGCAACTCGTGCTCAAAACGCTGAGAAAACATAACCTTTTCAATTTGTGATTTTGGAATCCCAGAGGCTGTAATTAAGAGATAAGCTTGTTTTCTAAGCTTCAAAGTGTGTGTATGTGTTCAAAGTGATCGGTGACTATAATATATGAGAAATAGACTCCAGTTGTAGTGCTTCTGTGCTTTAAAAATAAACTAAGAAGTGTGACTGTGGCTGTTCGCGCCTCGGGACGCTAAGGATTTCAACTATTGAAAACGTGCAAATTCAGGTTGTATTTTTCTTTTTTCATTTATCAAGTATTTGACGCAGACAATATGCCTCTTTGTTGCTGTGTTCCTTTATGCAATGCAAACTATAATTCTGCTTTGAAAACAGAAAGCTATGTTTCAACTTTTCGCTTCCAAGTACCGAAAGTCTGAAAAACAAATGGCTTATGGCAATTCCAAGAAAAAATTGGACACCTTCAAAATATTCAGCTGTGTGCAGTCGCCATTTTAGAGAATCGGATATCATCAGGACAGAAAATATAGTTTTGGCGGATGGAACAGTCCAAAATAATATACTTTTGAAATATTCAAAATTGAAAGAAAATGCTGTTCCCTGCATTTTCCCAAACTTGCCATCATATCTTTCAAAAACTGAAGCACCCAAAAGAACTGACCCAATGCAAAGAAAACAAATTAATAGAGAAACTTGAAAAAGCTATCCAGAATTTCGATGATACGGATAAGATCAAAGATAAATTTAGTTCAAAATGTGGATTTGAAGTTATTTGTGTTGTTACTGATAATCACCGAATTAATAGAGCAATGTTCAGGAAATTAGCAAAGGATTCATCAGAAAATTATTCTATTCCAAATCCACATAATCCTGATAAGAACATAATATTTAACTTATGATGTTGTGCATATTTTCAAGAGTATCAGAAATAATTGGATTAATTTAAAAAACCTAGACAAAACTTTTGTATATCCTAATTTTGACAATAATGATATTATTCAGTATGCTAAATTTGAAAACATTCGTGCTGTATATCAATTGGAAAAAGAAGCTGTAGTTAAGAAAGCATATAAATTAAATTATAAAACATTGCATTCAAATTCATTTGAAAGGCAAAATGTAAATTTTGTAGATAATTTATTCCATCACTCAACAATAGCTGCTATGAAAGAATTAAAGTTTAATGATGCTGCACACTTTTTGGAAATAATCAGGAATTGGTGGGATATTGTCAGTAATACAAGTGTAATAAAAGGAGAATTGAAGCGAAACGAATTTTGTAAGCCTATTACCAATAAATATGATTATAGAGTACAATTTTTAAAAAAATTCATGATATGGTTAGAAAAATGGCATAATCTAGAGAATAATAATGGACACCTGACACCAGAAACGTATACAGCTCTATATCAAAGCACGCTGACTCTACTTAATATAATTGAATATTCATTTAATCAATTTGACATTGAGTATGTATTGCCTGGAAAATTCACCACTGATAATTTAGAAAAACGATTTGGCAATTATAGACTTTTATGTGGCTGCAATTACAATGTGTCATATGATGAAATTTTAAATGCTGAAAAGAAAATACGGCTGAAGCATATTTTCAATGAAAAGAAATCGTTATTTTCTTTAGCAGAAATTAAAACAAGGTTCCAAAACTGCTTAGAAACACAAGAAAATTTTGATTTCTTGGATACCAAACAAAATCCTGAAGTTTTGGATATATTCAATGAAGTATTTGAGACAAATTACTTAGCCAATTGTGACATAGAGACTTATATATCTGGATATGCTTCACACGCTATCTCTAAAAACCTAAACTGCGAGATATGCAAATCGCTAATAGTTGAAGAAAAAGGTTCATTAACAACAAATGTTTATTTTGATCATTTGCAAAGAGGAGGACTGTCAATTCCAACCAGTTATGTACCAATCATATTCTACCATATGTATGCCATTTTTGAATCTATTATTAATGTAGATAGATTGGAAATTTTCTTCTTGAAAAGCAATAATCAAAAATTTATTTTGTGTCAGTTAACCTTGCTCGGCCTTCAGTCTGACTTTATATACAGTGAATTTTCTTTAACTTGCATCTGTGGCCGCAATTATGCAGATATTTTATCTAAGCTTTTGTCTATTTTTTCAAACATAATTTTGAATGATTATGTAAAACTGAAAAATAACAGTAAAACTGAAAGTAAATGTATTAAAAACAAACAGGTAACTCCACATTTCCAAGCTGGGCCTGTTGGAACACAGTGTGCTGACACCAAAAAACGTAAACTAAATACTTTTAATTAGGTTAACTGCATTAGCGACTTATGTATATCACGATTATTTCGTATTTTTTCGTAATTTGTTAGAGCTATTTCATATTGATATTTCATCACGTCTCGTAGTTGACGTCGGCTGTGGTTAGGCGAAATGGGTGATACATTTAAGGATCGTAAATTTCAGTAAAATATATGTGTAAATATATAAATATTTGTCCTGTAGCGGTGTGAGAGTGACGACACCACCGCAGACCAATTGGAATTTGTTACCCATTGCACAGCCGGCAACGATTGCAAAGTTATTTCAAATTATG